TAGTTGTGTTATGAACAGATGAATTTCAGTTTTCAACTACTTGTATTCAAAAAGTTATTAATTGCAATTTATATTAGTTACAATGCCTCTGAAAGGTTAGTTGCATCTCCAATTACCCCCCCCCCCCACACACACAACCACCAATAACAACAAGAATACATTTTTTAAAAAGAAAATAGATACTTTGCTCTTTGTCAACCTGACACCACCGGACATTTGGGAAATTTTAAATATGAAGGACGGAGCAAAGTCGTTTTTGAAAGAGGGAAGGCTGAGAAAAAAAAGTCGACTGGAAAATCCTAATTATTTCCAGGGGCGAGTTGGGGGTCTATTTGCAGTACAATCTGTCATACACACTTATTTTCCCTCATGACTATACTGCGACAAAAAAGGCCCTATGATATCAATGAATCGTAATCAATAGTAAGCCCCTTGTTGCTACATGCTAGCCTAGTTTCCTAAACATCAGTGATAAAATTCAGAATGCATATTATGATAACTACATATATGTCCTTCTCCCCACTGCCCTACAAGTGAGAAGTCCATATCAAAGCATGTAGAACCTATTCAACCAGTCTACCTCGCTATATTCATCAGTTTCATGCCCCAGTAACCACGCCATGCTTGGCGCGTGTTTTTGACCACGTGAACTGGTAATCACTTAGATATAGAGACTTGGCGAGTACTGACATATAGCGATTTATTGAGACTTTGAGATTTCTTCTGATTTTGCTGTTCTGTGAACGGATCCTTCGATTCTTCAGCACTTTGAAAATAGTTGTGTTATGAACAGATGAATTTCAGTTTTCAACTACTTGTATTCAAAAAGTTATTAATTGCAATTTATATTAGTTACAATGCCTCTAAAAGGTTAGTTGCATCTCCAATTACCCCCCCCCCCCCACACAACCACCAATAACAACAAGAATACATGTTTTTCATTTTTGAAATGCAGGGTTTTTACCTATACTTAGTAATCGTCTGAGTGCAATGCGGACATGCGCTGTTATAGACATAAAATAGTATAGTCTTGATATCTGATATATTAATTTGCAGGGACATTCATCTGTTATTGTGAATCCTGAGAAGCATACATTACCTGATAAAGAAAATGGATTTTAAACGAAGATCATACTTAACCTTGAGGGGTGAGTATTAAAAGACCCCCTCCCACACATAGACCATTGATTCCTGATAAATAAATGTAATCCAATTAAGTACCTGCCCTTGCTTACATTTATGTTCCCTAACATGCAACAATACTACAATCGCGCATGTACAAAAATTTTCATCTCCAGCCCGCGCACATACATGTACATGGTTTGGGTAGAAAATTTCTTGAGACAAAGTAGCCCCCTACCCCTTCTCTTAATTTTTGCTGTTCAGTGTTGGGTTGATCCTGCAGGTACATGAACATTTAAATTTTTTAGTGTACACACTGTACGCTTATATGAATTATTTCAATTGCAGATTTTTATTCCAAACTTGTCTCGGTATGTTTTATATATAATTAAAATTGGCGTGAAGAATAACAAATCATTTTAGTTTTCGATCTCAATGTATTCTTTTGCATATAATTATCTGAATTTACATAGTGAATCTTTTTTCATCTATCTATTTTTCAGGATATTTCTGAAGAGGAGAAGGAACTAGAACTACATAGTGTGGATACAATTTTGGAGAATGGAAAACTGTTGTAGATCGAGAACCTGAATTTTACCCACAACCAGAGGAGCTAAACTGTTTAACTCGCTTAGAATATTATATGGAATTGAGTGAGTGATACCCCGGCAGCCCATGTATAGTATCGAGAATATTTAATGAATTGGTCCTTTACAGTTCAAATCTGGAAAATTTCTTCATTTGGTTATTAAACTTTGAATAATTATGAAAGTAAACTTTACAACTGGATTTATCAGACTGAGTGTAATACGTGTATATACATGTACATCCCGCACCCAGACAACAAATGACATTTTCAGTCTTTTTGCATCATATATATTCATGGATTTGATTCTTTTCTTATTAAAAAAAAGATGCAAAGGACGACCTAGCCCTTTTTAAAATTTTACTGATGAAAAATATTTCATTTTATTAATCGATAATGTATTTTATTTTGTATTTCAAAGACACTCCCTTCCCGAAATCAATTTATTGGATTTTAGTTTACACATGCAGGTTTTACATGTTCGTGCTAGTTTGTTTTGATAATTCTATTTTTTTTTAACTTAAATTGAAATGTATCCATGTGTAAATAAATGTATTATAATGTTATGTTATAATTGTTTATTAAGCTTGAACCCCCAAATCAATATTAAATCATTTATCAATAAAAAAAACTTTATGTACAACATGTTCATTATCAACCAAACTGTGTGTTTTGTACTGTTTTATGTTTTTTTCAAATAAAATGTTGAAAACTTATAAACACGTTTAAGTGTTTATTTATTTGGTAAAATAAACATGTTGAAGTGTTTAAAAATTGATGTATAAACATGTTTAAGGTGATTATTATCTGTTGCATCGAATAAACATGTTTAAGTGTTTAGATGTTTAGGTTGAACATGTTTATTAATTAAACATGAAATGTTTACAAATTAAACATTCACGGTGTTTATCTAGTAAACTCTATGTATTAATTCCGTGTTTAATATTTAAACATTTTGTGTTTTTGAAGTGTTTAAGAGCCATTCTCTGTAATGATTTGAAATTGTATATAGGAGCTGTGGCATGCATAGTCTCAGGATTTCTCCAAACTCTCTATGATAAAAGTCATTGATACCCTAAACTGAAATCAGGCAAAAATTGGTTGCTATGTTTTATAGTTACCATGGCAACATGTCTTAAAGTTCGAAAAATGGCATTTTTTAACATGTTTAGAGCCCCATAGTTAACAATTGCGGCAAAGCAAACAATTGGCAATGACTGTTTCCAAAAGTTGAAGGTCAGATGTCTCAAATGCATGATAAACATGTTTGGTAAATCAACTATCACATTCGTTACTATGGTAACAAAGTATTCAAAAGTAAAAAAAATATTCATTGAATTTCATAAAGTCATACACGTAAAAATAAAAAGCAATTATAGGATGAAATGTGACCAAATAATAGAAAAAAGAGCCGTGAAACATATACCAAGAACAAAATATGATATTTCATTTTGGTTGGCAATGGTTGCCAAGGTTTTTATACCACAGAGAGCCTTCAAAGTAACACTCTGTATGTTTAAATCTGATCCTATCTTTTAAAAAAGCACATTTCTTCATAACTAATGATCAATTTGTAAATATGTTGGTGTGCTCCTAGTTTTCCCATTTGAAAAAATTCAGATAAGATTCTTTAAATAGAGCGTTGCTATGGAAATAAGCAGAAAATGTATGCTTAAAAACCTGAAAAACATTTTCTTTCCTTGGATACATACCCTTAAATGTAGATTCCCAAAACTTTTATAATTGATATTTATTAACAGCTAACCTGACTTTTAATTTTGACTATCATCTAATCTCTAAGTGGATGCAAGAAGTTGGCACACAGTGTTTAATATTGATATAAAGTTCACAAAATCGAACATTTTCCCTTCTTGGTAACCATAGCAACAGTGTTGTTTTCTTCATCAAATTTTATCAATATATGATATTCAACTTCAGTTCTAACAAATAAGTACTATTCAAGCTGAGTCCTTTAATTTGTTTCTTGATTAAATGGCAATTTACTTCTTAATGCAGCAAAACTAAATCACTTTTAAGCACTGGTTCTTTGTTTCCATGGTAACCCTGCAAAGTAGCAAGTAAACCCAATTTATCTTATGGTTTTGGTGTTGCAAGGTCCTAAGGATGCATATTTGCCAGTCTTGAATTTTCATGTTTTTCCTCAAGACAGTAGTATTAACCCAATCTTAGTTACTGGTTTTGCATGGTTATACTGTGTTACCATGGCAACCATAAAAGTTATTTATAGAATAATATTGCTTATACTTATATACTTAAGGTCAAACATTTTCATTGTTTTTCTTAAGTCCTTGATTGAGTTTGAGAATGTAACACCTACCATTAGTGAATACAGAGTGTTTTTCAGCATATTTCAGCATTTTAAATGTATTCCAAATGTACCCTTGGTTACCACTTACTTAGAGATATATTCTAAACAGTTTTTTTACAGTGTAAGTGACATCAAGGTGTCATGTTTTTGTGAGAATGGTTTGTTTGCTTTTTCTAGTTTTTATTAAGCCACAGTCAAGATTTAAAGTGGCTGAAAATCTGGATTTTTCAAATTTTTCCGGCGGTTGCCATAGCAACCGAGACACATAGCAACGAAATTTTGTTTGATATTTGTTTCTGGTGTCAAGTACTAAGCATGGGATAAGTTTCATCAAAATCGGTGACCATGCGTGGCAACGAAGTTTAAGTGGTTACAGAGAATGGCTATTAATATTTAAACAGAATGAAAAAGAAGTATTTAAATATTAAACCTCGTGTGTTTAGAATTTAAACATTCTAACGTGTTTATTTTTTTAAACACTTCACGAGGTGTTTAAATCTTAAACGTGTTGAAGTGTTTATTATCTGTTGCAATTTGGTGTTTATTTCTTAAACACTTATTTTTTACAGTGTAGGAAATGACATTTTTAGTTCGAAAATTTCGGAAGAATATAAATCCATTAAATGAATGCATATAGGTCCTCCTGAGAATTTTAAATGCTTCAAAATTAAATGTTACGTGATGCTGATGTTCCTGGTGTGCTTTAATCTTTATCTATTTTAAGGTGTTTTGTAGAGAGAGAGAGAAACGTGTACTTAACTGTGCAATATGATCTTCCTTTTTGATGCCGTCAGTTTAATGCTAGAGAAGGTGAAACTTATCACTTATACGGTATCTTACTCACAGGTGCTTGGGTATATGGACCCCCCCCCCCTTTCAATTTTTTTAAATCTGGGTTCTATTCTATTCTAGACTCGGTTACGGGGTGTGTTTGTTATATGTTACCTATACTTTTGTATAAAGATGTATATGCATAGACTCACAGGTGAATCTAAAGGGGGCCCAATCCCCTCCCTCCTTTTGCGTACAAAGTATACATAGAATTTAATAAATCGATTAATTTATGTGTGGCTGTGGCCCATATCCCGATCCTAAACTAGTCCCCCTTTCAAGATTCCTGGATCCGCCACAGATACTTACATATTCATTTAACCCCACCATTGCAGTATATATGTTGTCGTTTAGGTTCCAGTAGAGACGTCCAGTTCCACAGTGTGTCCGTGACCCCCATGCCTGTCCGGATCCCGGGGGACATCCGTCTCTCCGTGGACGCCAGTCTGACTAAGGCGATAGGAAGCTCCAGAATGTCCCTCTCTATCAAAAGGAAATCCTACTTTGGGGTAGAAGTTCCTATGCCCTGCCTTTTCAATATCGGATCATGGTAAATGGCGAGAGAGAGAGAAAGGGTGATAGGAAAGAGGCAGATAGAAAGAGAGAGAGAGAGAGAGAGAGAGTAAGAGGTAGGGGTGGGAGAGAAGTAGAGGGAGATCGAGAGATAGACAAACACAGAGACAGATAAAGAGAGAGAGTTTGAGAGAGAAAAAGAAAGAGAGAGAGAGAGAGAGAGAGAGGAAAGCAGAGAGAGAGGGAGTGAGAGAGAAAGAGAGAGACAGTCAGATTATATATCAGTTTATCTCGGAGTTTGTGTTTAATTTAGTTATTTAAGTTTGAAATTTTTTTTTAGTACATACGATGACCTCTGTACGATGGTGCAGAAAATGATCACCGAGAACTGGGTGGGGATAGTGGGGGGTATTGGTACACAGATCCAGACCATGCTGACCAGTGTGGGGGTCAATGCTAGCCAGTGTCCCCAGCCCCCCAGGAATATCCGTATCACAGACTATCCCATCAGCATTCCCAGAATTCCTGCTATTCTCACCTTGTTTGCAGCGGTATGAACAGCTAACTAGCTTAATTTTTTTTTAAATTTCAATTCACAAAGTTAACTTTCTGAATATCTTACATTTCACAGCATACATTTATGTAACTTACGTTGGAATTGCCAGAAAAAATAAATATATTTATCAAAATCAATTCAATTTTATTTCAATACTTGATTTTGCTTTTCAATAGTTATTCATTTTCCACAATAAAGTAAGGTTTTAAAATAAAATTATATTAGCGTTCAGGTTAAATGATAGTACTCTTCCTTGTCGTGGTTTTATAATATTTTTAGTACACTTCTCAGTCATCCTTGGACTTTCTGTAAGGCGTGGCGTTCTCGGTGCTACGTAATTAGCGGCTCTAAAATGACGAAATAGATTCTCATTGGTTAAGAAATTAATAAGAGGAACTTTAAATTGTTGCCGAGAACTGTTAGCCCACCCTTTTACCGTACGAAACGCTGTCATTGAATCATTGCTACACTCGTTGACATTCGCCAGAATTTCTATCCCAGTGAACACATGATGAATGAAATGTAAAGAACTTTATTCGGTAATAACCAATATTTGCCCCCCAAATCAAACTTTGATGGAGATATATTTAATTAAGTTTAAACAGGGGAGTATATGCTGACTTCAAAGCACTGAATATTTTCATAAGTAATGACGCCATGTGTACGTAATGACATCACAAACATGACGTAAATTTCAGTTTTTTATGAATGCCGGGGGTATAGCATAAGCTCATCTCGACTTCGTCGAGGTGAGCTAAAAATGGTGTGGTTATGCAGCCTTCAATTTCTTACTTATTTAAATTCAGGCTATTTAACAAAACAGTAATGAGCTCTTTTGGTGTTGAATATGATTTGTTCTTCACCAGAAAAATATCAAGTTTGACCTCCCCTTCACCTTGGTCAATACTGATTTTTTTTCTGGTGAATAGCAAACCATTTTCAACACAAAAAGAGACCACAATTGCTTAGTATTTATCAGAAACAACTAAAATTATCAGCAACAACAGTAAATATCAGTATTTATCAGCGAGTATCAGTAATTATTAAACATTATTGGTAAATTTCGAGATTCTTGGCACTTTTTTTCATCAGGAAGTGAAGGATACTCTATGCGAAGTATGGCTGAAATTGGTCCAGTAGTTTTGGAGAAGAAGAAAATGTGAAAATTAGTTTACAAAAACGACAACGACCAAAATGACAACAGACAACGGACAAATTTTGATCAGAAAAACTCACTTAAGCCTTTAGCTCAAGCAAGTATTTAAATATTAAACCTCGTGTGTTTAGAATTTAAACATTCTAACGTGCTTATTTCTTAAACACTTCACGAGGTGTTTAAATCTTAAACGTGTTGAAGTGTTTATTATCTGTTGCAATTTGGTGTTTATTTCTTAAACACTTATTTTTTACAGTGTAGGAAATGACAATTTTAGTTCGAAAATTTCGGAAGAATATAAATCCATTAAATGAATGCATATAGGTCCTCCTGAGAATTTTAAATGCTTCAAAATTAAATGTTACGTGATGCTGATGTTCCTGGTGTGCTTTAATCTTTATCTATTTTAAGGTGTTTTGTAGAGAGAGAGAGAAACGTGTACTTAACTGTGCAATATGATCTTCCTTTTTGATGCCGTCAGTTTAATGCTAGAGAAGGTGAAACTTATCACTTATACGGTATCTTACTCACAGGTGCTTGGGTATATGGACCCCTTTTCAAGATTCCTGGATCCGCTGATTCTAACATATTCATTTAACCCTAGTACTATTGCAGTATGTTGTCGTTATATATAGGTTCCAGTAGAGATGTCCAGTTCCACAGTGTGTCAGTGACCCCTATGCCTGTCCGGATCCCGGGGGATATCCGCCTCTCCGTGGACGCCAGTCTGACTAAGGCGATAGGAAGCTCCAGAATGTCCCTCTCTATCAAAAAGAAATCCTACTTTGGGGTAGAAGTTCCTATGCCCTGCCTTTTCAATATCGGATCTTGGTAAATGGCGAGAGAGAGAGGGGGTATGGGAAAGAGGCAGATAGAAATAGAGAGAGAAAGAAAGAGGGAGGGTGAGAGAGAAGTAGAGGGATATCAAGAGATAGACAAACACAGAAACAGATAAATAGAGAGAGAGAGAGAAAGTTTGAGAGAGAAAAAGAGAGAAAGAGAGAGAGAGAGAGAGAGAGAGAGAGAGAGAGAGAGAGAGAGAGAGAGAGAGAGAGAGAGAGAGACAGTCAGATTATAATCTCAGTTTATCTCGGAGTTTGTGTTTAATTTAGTTGTTTAAGTTTGAAATTTTATTTTTAGTACATACGATGACCTCTGTACGATGGTGCAGAAAATGATCACGGAGAACTGGGTGGGGATAGTGGGGGGTATTGGTACACAGATCCAGACCATGCTGAGCAGTGTGGGGGTCAATGCTAGCCAGTGCCCCCAGCCCCCCAGGAATATCCGTATCACCGACTATCCAATAAGCATTCCCAGAATTCCTGCTATCCTAACCTGGTTTGCAGCGGTACGTATGAACAGCTAGCTTATTTTTTATAATTCACAAATTTAACTTTCTGATGAATATCTCACATTTCACATGGTTGGAATTATATATATATATATATATATATATATATATATATATATATATATATATATATATATATATATATATATATATATATATATATATATATATATATATATGTAAATTACGTTGGAATAGTCAGAAAAAATATATTTATCAAAATCAATTCAAGTTTATTTCAATACCTGATTTTGCTTTTCAAGAGTTATTCATTTTCCATAATTAAGTAAGCACATTATAGGTTTTAAAATAAATAAAATTATAATAACGTTTAGATTAAATGATAGTACTCTTCCTTGTCGTGGTTTTATGATAAAAAAAAAATAAATTTTAATACAATTCTCAGTCCTCCTTGGAGTTTCAGTAAGGCGTGGCATTCTTGCCATTCTCGGCGCTACGTAATTAGCGTTTCTCAAATGGCGACATAGATTCTCATTGGTTAAGAAATTGATAACATGAACTTTAAAATTGACAACGATTAGACGATTTAGGGCCCACCCTTTTACCGTACGAAACGCTGTCATTGAATAATTGCTACACTCGTTGACATTCGCCCGAATTTCTATCCCAGTGAATGAAAGGCTGTGTAAATTTCAGACGCTAATTATGTAAGGTCGAGAATGGCACGCCTTTACTGAAAGTCCAAGGATATATAGAGAATTGTACTATTGTGCAATATTCCCAGTCGTTAGAAATCTACCTGATCTGGTATATACTTGTGTATATTTCAGGGTGACTACCGTGTGATCGTTAAGGTGAATGAGAACGCCACGGGGAGACAACTGGTGTGTCTGAACCTCCAGCTCTCCGTCACCCAACACAGAGAACCCAGCACTTCCGGCTGGTTGTTTGGTGGCCGATAACAACGAGCTTAATATATTGATATTGTTTCACATTACATGAATAAAAACTTATAATGATTAACAATACTTTTAATTTGTAACTTAAATTGTATGAAATCAAGGTACCTAATTTAAAAATAAGGGCACGTAGCATCGGCGGGAAGGGGGATTTAATGTATATTTATGACCTTGACCTTTGACCTGAAAAATCTGTATGGGTCTTCTGTAGGCCATAGGGAGTTGTGATATTAAATTTTCTTGGAAAAAAGAAGCTCAAAGAATACGAAACTTATCATTTGGAAAATGTTATTTACAATTTATGAATTTCTGCTCTTGATCTGTTGACATCATCCAAAAAGATTTAGGCCACATGGAGTTTTGAAATCGATCTTAAAATCTACAGGGGTCTTCATGAGACCATAAAAAGTTGTGATATAAAATTTCCTTGCAAAACGTATACGCTTTTTAAGATTTTGTCCATAAAACAAAAGTGTTACATACAGACAAAATGGAAGAGAAATAAATGGATCCAGAGTAATTAACGGTTGTTAGCTTTTAGTGAAAGCTATGGACAAAAATTACACTTTTATGAAATTCAGTATGTAAATGAAAAATGAAACCTATATAGTTAACGATTTGTAAGTATAGTTCTGTTCGTTAACTATATTTTCAAACCTATATTTAATGGTTGCTATAGTTTACGAAGTAACTGTCTATCTGTCTGTTTAATAAGCGTTAACAATAGATTTTGTTCATAAACATAGATTCGCGTTTGTAAACTATAGTTTACAATCGTAAACTATAGTTAAGAGTTGTTAATCATAGTTTCACAAATCGTGAAACTATATTTTTCAGATCGTTAACTATAGTATAAAAGTTTGTAAACTATAGTTTATCGTGAAACTGTATTTATCAGATAATCTATGTTTTGCAATCGCACATGATAGTTTTCGGTGTTAAGTATAGTTTACGGTTGTGAAACATAGAAAAATCGCGTTAACTATAGTTTACAGATGTACAATATAGATTAATATAGTTTGCAGTCCGTAAACTATAGTTTACAACCGATAAACCTAGTTTATCGATTGTGAAACTATGATTTGCTCATTTTTGTGAATTTGGCGTGCCATATTTATCTGTCTGTAATAAGCGTTAACAATGGATTTTGTTGATAAACATAGATTCACGTTTGTAAACTATAGTTTACAATTGTAAACTATAGTTAAGAGTTGTTAATCATAGTTTCACAAATCGTGAAACTATATTTATCAGATCGTTCACTATCAATAGTTAACGGTTTGTAAATTATAGTTTACAAATCGTGAAACTGTATTTATCAGATAATCTATGTTTTGCAATCGCAAATGATAGTTTTCGGTGTTAAGTATAGTTCACGGTTGTGAAACATAGATTATCGCGTTAACTATAGTTTACAGATGTAATTAACGTTGTTAACTATAGTTTACAGTCCGTAAACTATAGTTTACAACCGATAAACCTAGTTTATTGATTGTGGAACTATGATTATCTCATATTTGTGAATTTGGCGTGCCATGCATAGGCCTACATGTATTATTAAGAGTGTTATCATAATGGTTATATAATTAATATTACTATCGTTGGGTTAAAAATTTATTGAAGAAACAAGTGCCTGTGAGTGTGGCAATCAATATAATGTTTCAACTTTGCATAGATTAATTGGACTGCAATTTATCTACACTAACTTTTTTACATAAAACATCTATTACCATAAAAGACAAAAATATTTAAATGTGTTTCTTTTGCGCAGCCGTTTTCCGCCAAGTACCTGGCGCAACTCTCTGTTTATAATGAAATGCGTGAACGCACACGCCTGCTGTCCTTGCTGTTTGTTTATAAACGAGATAGCCATAGGTGGTGAACCATGTGTATTTTTATAGTTTTGGGCAACACTCTACCCTTACGAAAGCAGTTTACATTGTTTATGAGTATTTTACATAGGTTATGATGTGCCATGTGGTACAAATAAGTAAACGTAACTTTCAGTAAGGTTTAGCTGTATCGCAATAAGAGGCTGAGCCAGGCTGCGGTGACTGGATTCAGGTATGCACTGATGATCAGAACAGCTCAATTTTACAGTGATATTTGTTTAGGCCCTAACGTTAGATGTCTGCAGTGTAAGCAATGCTAGTGAGCTTTGTGAGTGTTTCTTCACCGCTTTCCCCCCGGGGGTGGGGCACTAAACCTCTCCCAGGTGGGGACCATCGCCCAAATGGGATATAATATTGTCCGTTTGGGATATAAATTTACAGTGCAAAAAATGAAATATTTTATTTTGGCTATAAATATCATAAACCCGCATCAGGGCACATATGAAGGAATAACATTTGGTTGACAAGTTTTTCTGTATGTCCGGTTTAGGAGATTGATCCCTCGGAAGTTCCTTAACTTCTTGGGGATCAATCTTACAAACTGTCGGGTTGCAGAAAAACTTGGTAACCAAAAGTTATTTCTTTATAAATATGTGCCCTGATGCGGATTTATGATATTTATAGCCAAAATAAAAATTTTAATTTTTTGCTTGTAAATTTTTATCCCGTTTGGGATACAATATGTCCCAAATGGACTGTTATATCCCATTTGGGCGGTTGTTTCCAACCTGTATATGTATGTTTCAAGTTCATGTCGGCAGCATGACACTAGCATGTAGACATAATTGCGGGTGATAAGTCACCATAAACAATCTGACAAGTAGACATAACTGTTTCATATGTCACCACAAACATCCTTACAGGTAGACCTTAAATTATTATGATACATGTATACATATATCACATGATGTCTGCAGTGTAAGCAATGTTAGGGCAACATTCAGAATATTTGCCCCTCAAAGTGACAGTGATATATTATATCACATGACTTTGAGGGTGACATAACACTCCAGGGTTTTCCTGTCACAGAGGGGCAAATATTTAAGGAATCACTGTCTTAAGTTAGATGAGTATGCCAGGGACATGAACGATATTTGGAAGAGCAAAGCTCATTATGCATAAATACTGTAAAGCAACTTTTATTCATGTGTGAAAATTTTTCATGAGTGTTGCAAGAGCCTTGTCATCACGAATATTTCTTGTCACCTCCGAAAATGTCTGTGACATCAGACAAAAAAAGGAATCACAAAAATTACACAAAAAACAGTGTTTAGAATCTAAACAAAATTCACATTTTATGTACACAAAATTCATGTAATATGTCATCTAAAAAATATGTGTTTAGTTGCTAAAATGTTTAACCCCTAAAACTTATATCAAACACATTTTTTGTTTCACTTTTTTTACAGTTTAGCCATAAACGCGCATTTCTAAACACATCAATATTTAAGTGTAAGTTGCTAAACATGTTTAGTTCCCATTAGATCCAACAGAATAGTTTAAATTATAAACTATCGAGGAAAGCATATTTTTTTAAAGAAAAACATTATTAAATAAGTTTCCTAGAAATACCATACATTTTCATTAAATATAGTTAATTCTGAAGAATTTTAAATTTAGAATACATTTGACAAAAACTAAAAACATATTTTGGCTCATGTCAATATTAATCAGCTCATCAAGCATGCACTTATTCCCAGTCTGTAGCAAAAGTTAATCAAGCTTATTATTTTCCTGTAGCTTTCACTAAAAACACAAATCATATGTCCATTGCCAGGAAGGTTCACTGTCGATAAATTAGAGTTGTTTAAAAATATACCGAACAGTATACTTCAAAAATTCAGTTTCCTTTAACAATCCTGAAAATTTGTACCAACAATTGGACTTGGAAATGACATAACTACTCATGAGGCGTTTATTTGTGCTTCAATCTGGACCATATTCTTTAAAGAAATGAAATTCAAAAAATGCCCACTTGATCACATGCTAAAATTTAATATTTTGTCCTTTATTGAAATCCAGTAATGATAATGTCATATAGATATTTCAATGATTCTTAATATAAACAGTTTCTCATTTTCAGGAATCACATATAAAATAAGGAAATCTTGTACAATTATAGTAATTGTAAAGTTTCCATTCAGTCAATTTATTAAATTTACAAAATAAACAGACCTTTTATAGTTATCACTTTGATTATGCGCTTCCTTTAATCCATTTCTTTTGCTTACACTGGAATTTTCTTTGTTTTGTACCGCTCTATTAACTTTTATTACGCGTCATTTGTGAAAATTTTTCATTTGTTTAAAAGAGCCACGTCATCACGAGATATTCTTGTTAGAATAAGTGATCCTTAATGTCAATCTAAACATGTTCGGTTAACAAGTAATGGATCAAAAAAAGGCTTGATCACAAAAATTAATTGTTGCGAACTATTTACTCCCAGTAAATCGTGAAATAAAGTCATCGCCAATAAACGTTGGTTTAAAGTATCTAATTTTCCAACCATCGTTGATGTCCCTTGCATACTATACTAAATATAGACCGGGAGTTCTTATTTTTCTATTTCATTGTAAAATAAAATTGTAAATTTAGATTTTAAAACTGTAGACTAATTAAATTTAAATTAGTAAACACGAAGTGTCCCATGTCAATTTCCATAGGCCGGCCCCACCCACTGATGTCAAATACTTGTGTGATGATAGCTGCACAAGATTTGTATCCATATTAGGCCTCCTTAGCATCGGACACAAAAACAGAGGCATAAGATTTACATGCACAATAGGCCTCTTTAGCTCCTAGCCGACCTAGATCGCTCGACGAAATTTACATTCCAGTAGAATGATCAAGAAATCAATTCAGCTAACTTTCAAAGAGTTATCACAGAGAAAACAAACAAATAATGAAATATGGAAATATTCTGGTATATTTGCATTCTCTGTTTTCTCCCAATATGAACCTGCAGTATTCATTTGTGTTCCTAGGAAAAGTTATTCAAAAATGTTATATAAATGTTTGATTAGTCACTATAAACATTTGACATGTAGACAAAAATGCTTCATAAGTCACCATGAAAGTGATTACCAGTAACATCGTACAAGTGATGTAGAACTATACATGTACAACCACAAAATTTGACCCAAAATTCAATACATGTACATGTAGTAATATGTTGAAGACATTGCTTAAAAATGCTGATTCAGAATAGTATGTTGTCACACTAGCTGCAGGTCATATTGTGTGCTAGTTGGTACATTTGGAGTCTCAACAATTTATCTCTGTCTTGATTGTACTAATTTATCAATATTATATTTTACACTTATTGACTGGGTGTAAGGCAACATATGATTAAATTTTGTTGGACCAGAGGGTGAAGATGTTCCCCTTGGCCTGTGGTCTCCTTATTATTATATTTAATTATCTATTTGATTTTCATATTCTTCACTTCATTTTAAATATACTTTATATTTATATGTAAAGTTTGTTCATTTTTTTTTCAGCTTCAGAATGTCCAGAAAATTTCATGATAGGAAGAATGTCATGTTGGAATTGAGACCAGTACAGATGTTCCCTGCAGTTGTGTAATAATGGCAGCCTTCCGATGTCGCTACAAATTAAAATCTAAAATAGCGGCCTTAGGTTCCTTTCTCTTTGTTGTCATTACTGTACATTACTTCATTTCGTCTAAGTTTAGGACTAAAAGCCAAACTAATTCTATTGGAAGGAAGTCTTATTCTAGAGTTTATATGTCTAGTGATGTTCAAAATCTGATTCAACAGAACGACATTTGTGGGATACATCAACTACCGCTATACAGTAGAGAAATTGAACATGCTATTCAACCAATGGAGAAACCTCTTGTATGCAATGGGACCAACTTGTTTTATTTTAAAGACAATATCTTATCCATGAATACAAGTGTCTTGTACCCAAATCACAACACCATAGATTTGTACGAATTTAAATCTAAAAAGTTAGAGAATAAACCTGTTATAAAAGCATGTGAATTAAGGGGTATCGAAAGAGTGACAGATTCGTTTTTCACATATACGGAGAGTATCATCAAAGAAAAGGAACCGTTTAACTTCCTACTCAAGCATGACTTTGTACGAGTGAAATGTCTGTTAAATTCCACAGTTAATTTAATCAACGCAGATGAGAACGAGACCGAGAAAATTGTCAGCAATGACGGCTCTTATAATGAAGCCGACGAGAGGAGTGAGACGGAAAGGAACATTTTTGAGGAGTATCTCGTAGATTTCGACCAGTTTTTAGTCCAGGTTTATCCTCAGGAGGAGGTTTTCAAAAGAGCCTCCGCATTGTCGGATTCGCACGGTTCGGATCGGATGAACGTTATGATGATTGTTTTGGATTCTATGTCCCACATGTCATTCCGTAGAAAACTGCCAAAAACCTACAGCTTCTTAAAGAAAAATTTGGCTTCAACCATTCTGAATGCCTATAATATAGTTGGTGATGCTACTTTAGCTGCACTGATACCAATATTAACAGGTAAACATTGGCATGATAAAATTTTGATTTTTTTTTTTTGAAAACAAATACAGTCAAACCTATTTGTTATCTAGTACTCAGTGACTGAGGAATGACTAGAGATATCAAGGGTTAAATGCTAAAGGAATATCTGGTTGGGTCATCCAAATCACTTTGATATATCAATGCATGGTATTTCAAGATACTAAAGTTCAACTGTATTGTGTTTTTCATGATGCAAAATTTTTCCAATCATATCTTTTTACTTCATTTGATCCAAAAGTTTAAAAGAACTTCTTGATACATTATATTCATGTTCAACTTCAAAAGTTTTAGCTGCAGAACTGTAGCTCTCTGCTTGAGAAAATTAGGACAGATAAAGCAGAGAGCTACAGATCCAAGCGTATTAAAAACCTTCGATTTACGCCGACGATTTTTTCTTGTATTTTATACTTTCCTCAGGTATGAAAATTATTTTAAATGGTATTTAATAATTAATCATACATTCAACTTCAATTTCTGATCATTTACTTACCTCTCAACGCTAACAAATGGCTTTGGTTACGGACGTCGAAATAGAACTCTTTTGAACCGACATTACAAAACTATATACAGGACTGTTTAGGACTGCTAAAAGGTAAACAAAGTATCAAATATAAGAGTTAAATATATGAATTATCATATTAGGTTACCATTCTAAAAGCCAGAGAAAGTTTAAACTACACGAAATAAATACCTAAATAGCGACAAAAAATCGTCAGCGTAAATCGAAGGTTTTTACAACGCTTGGATCTGTAGCTCTCTGCATTATCTGTCCGAATTTTCTCAAGCAGAGAGCTACAGTTCTGCAGCTACAAAAGTGTAAGATGTAGAAATTTCAAACTGGTCAGGCAGTTTGCCAGATATTCATTACCAAGAAAAATGGCAAGATGGGCTTGACAATTTTATAACATTAAATCATTGAATCACATAATAAACATGTAACAGTTATTACTGTTGGATGGGTCAATATGATAATTTAGCCATCAAAGTATGATATTCACCTTGTGCATTGAAAATTGTACTCTTCAAATGGCTAAGCTTAAAGGGTTTTCATCAAGCATCCAAATTTCTTAAAAATTAAACATTATTATATTCTTGAAACATGTAATTATCGTTTACATCAATAAAGTGTGTACTAGTCGTCTACTGATCATATTACATGAATGTTATTTGCTTCTTGTAGGTAAAACAGAACTAGAGTTACCTGAAGTTAGAAAGAGCCAGGAAGACGCTTATTATGTGGACATCTATCCTATGATCTGGAAGGAGTTTAAGAAGAAGGGATATGTCACCATGTTTGCCGAGGATGAACCCTCAATTAGTGCTTTCAACCTTAGATTAAATGGTTTTAAGGAATCCCCCGTGGACCATTATATGAGGCCATTTTGGCAGGCCATCTGGGACTCCGAACTCCGAGAACGGAGTAAGAGATATTGCACGGGTGGTACGCCACATCATCAATTTTTATTAGAGTACCTTAAAGACTTCTACGTGAAATATCAGAATGTTTCCAAATTTTCCCTAACATTTTTGGCCGAATTGACTCATTGGGATAATAACCCGGGAGAATATTTAGATGTGGATTTTGTGAATTCTTTGAAAGTTTTCAGCAAGTTGGGATTTCTGGACAATACTCTACTGATTGTGATGGGGGACCACGGTGCTAGGTACGGAAGAATACGGCGTACGTTACAAGGGAAAATGGAAGAGAGGCTCCCCTTCATGAGTCTGCATTTTCCTCATCGATTTAAACTCAAACATCCTCATTTAATTAAACTCCTGTCAAAAAACGCCAATCGATTGACGACACCATTTGATGTTTATGAAACTCTTAGGGATGTCCTTGATTCATCAAGGTTGTATAAACCTGTGACACCAAGCAGAGGAATCAGCCTCCTTCAGGAGATTCCAGCCAATCGGAATTGTGTGTCTGCTCATATTGACCTACATTGGTGTTCATGTTTAGTGCAAAGTAAGGTGGACCCAAACAGTGATAATATAAAAGTAATAGCGGACCAACTTCTCAGACATATCAATGATCTGACTCTGCCTTTGAGAGACTCTTGTCATGAGCTGTCAATTCATAAAATAAAATCTGCAAATTTAATGAGTCCTAATGAAAAGGTAAGGAATCATGATTAAATATTTAAATATGGCATCACAAATAATCCTGATGATATTGGGAAAAATTTTTGACTAGCATTCTAAAACCTTTCAGTTATTTTTATTTGATGCAAACAACCTCAATGAAAGAAAGTTTAAACATTTCCAGTAAGTGGTCTCTAAAAATGATGCTTACTTCAGATGTTTCTGCAAAGTACAAGTTCTTTAGCTTCATTCAAGTCACTCTATGCCCTTTGATTAAAATTTTATTTTAGTTGTAATGTCATTTGATTGGTTAAACAGTTTTATCCATTTTGTATAACATAACTTGCCTGTGTCACAATTTATTACGTCAAAAACATATTACTCCGCTTGATGTTAAATTTTAAAATATGCGATATTTGAAGCAATTTTCGAAGGAAAAAATGGAAAAATTGTCTCTTTGTCTACATAGAAATTAAATTATAAGGAATGAAGCTTCGCGGTTTATAAAGCGTAAACTGTCCCAAGTTATGTTATAACGTATAACAAAAGTTGAAATAAGCTTCATTCCTTAAATAATCAGATGGTCTTCTATTTCAGGTTTTGAAATTTATGAAAACAGTGGATGCTGATCAAAGAGTAGCCAACTTTAGTTCAGAAATAAATGTGGATGTTGCACATTACCAAATCACCATGGAAACAATTCCAAACTATGCACAATACGAGGGCACAGTGACTAAGAACTTGAAGGACAACAAATATGAAGTTTTCCACAGTATTAGTAGATTAGATCACTATGGCAACCAGTCTGCTTGTGTGATGAAGCAGTACCCTGATCTCAGAAAATTTTGTCACTGCAGATAATATTGATGGAGGTTTGATATGCCTTTTTCCACATATCATGGATTCAAAATCAAGTTGAATGTGTTCATTAAGTTGGGATAATAGGTAATATCATGATGATTGATTTAAACTCCTGAACTGGCATTTGAAGTTTTGGGTTATTATTTTTTATTATGACCATATAATTGGAGGTTTTGGGGAATACTTGTATAGATTTTGGTGTCTTTCTGTCTTTTTTCCACAGAAATGTTAATTAGTTAACTTTTAAACGCTTGGTCCTAGGGTTTAAATATTTCATGTTAACCACTTTTCTTTGGGTACCAACATTTTTTTCAGTTGAAAACACTTGATAAAAACAAAATTTTAACATTGTACTAACTTTTGAACAGTTGATGCTATGACTTTCACATTTCCCATGTGCAATAACTTTGTGGCAAGACCTTTCTTTGGGTACCATTATGTTTTTTGAAGAAAAAAAAACCCCCAAAATTAACTTTGGTCATAACTTTAGAATGGGTAATACTCGAGTTTTCATATTTCACCTGTATATTCCTTTTGATAAGACTTTTCTTTGAGTAACAATTTTTTTTTACTTCATGACCTTGAATTTGAATGAACAACTTAAACCTTAAATGGTTTGCAGGGACATCAGTGATTCACAAACACATTTTGTTCAAATATTTTCTCTCTGTGATATTTTATATATAGTTTTGTAACATTTTCATTTTTTGTTGAAAGGAAAACCCAAATATTGAATTTTCTTTTTTTTGTCATGTCACTCTCATGGATGTTTGACAGTTTTAGGAAACCTCATAGCAGGTGACCTATTTACCGTTTTATTTGCTGTGTGGTGTGAAATATTTTAACATTTTTATTTTTCAAACTTCAATGACCTTGAAATTTTAAACATTTTTCCAGCATTTAAAATGTAGAAATAATGATGCTTGTTAAAGATGTTTTGAATTAACTCTTGCCCCCATTTTTCATTCAATTTAAAAATCTTTTTTCACTCTAAATTTTGATTAAAATTTTAAAATTTTTTCATGGTAATGTCTAGTGACGGGGTTTTGATTAAAGGAAAAAATTTTTTCATTTTGTATATTTGTCATATTCACTGCCATGTGACCAAAATTTGAAATTTTATAGGTCACCTGGTGCAGGTGCCTATTCATTATGTATTACTCTGCATTGATGTTCTTTTTAAAATATTTGCAATATTTTTTTAGCAAAGTTTAAAAATTGTGAATTTTATCAGGGCATAAACTGCTTGTGGTAGGGCGGGGCAAAATTAACAGTGAAAACTTTAAACAAATTTCAATTTATGTTCTTCTTAACTTTGGCTGAATTTTATCTTATATTTGCAAAATCTTTTATGTACTCAAATTTTGGGTATATAATTGTCAAAATATAACTTTTCATTCCTTAAATAATCAGATTCTTCTATTTCAAAATTTGAAATTTATGAAAACAGTGGATCTTTGATCAAGAGTGGCCAACTTTTTCAGAAATAAATGTAAATGTTGCACATTACCAAATCACATTTTGAAAATCTTTTTCTCTTCCTATACTATGCACAATATGAGGGTACAGTTATAGAACTTGAAGGACAACAAAGTATGAAGTTTTCCCAGTACCAGTAATTGTGAATTAGATCACTATGGCAACCAGTCTGCGTGTGTGATGAAGCAGTACCCTTTTGAAAATTTTGTCACTGCAAAATATTAATTCTTTGAAAGAACATATCATGGGATTGAAAAATCAAGTTAAATGTGTTCATTAAGGCGTGACAATAAGTTACTTATTATGATAATTGATCCAAACTCCTGAATGTATACTTCTAAGATTGCAGGCAGCATTTACTGGCATTTGAAGTTTTGGGTTATTATTTTTTATTATGACCATATAATTGGAGGTTTTGGGGAATACTTGTATAAATTTTGATGTCTTTCTGTTTGTTTTCCACAGAAATGTTAATTAACTTTTGAATGCTTGGTCCTAGGGTTTAAATATTTCATGTGTATTCCTTGTGACAAGACCATAATTTATTTGGGTACCAACATTTATTTTATAGCATAACCTTGACCTTGGAGTTAACACTTAAACAACATTTTAACTTTGTTCCGACTTTTGAACATTTGATGCTATGACTTTCACATTTCCCATGTGCAATTACAGTGTACTTTGTGACAAGACCTTTCTTTGGGTACCATTATCTGTTTTTGAAAAAAAAAAACAAAAAGGCAAAAACATTAACTTTGGTCATATCTTTAGAATAGGTAATACTCGAGTTTTCATATTTCACCTGTATATTCCTTGTGTTAAGACTTTTTTTACTACCAACTTTTTTATTTCATGACCTTGAACTTAACATTTGACCTGCTTTGAAAAACCCTTGGTTCCATGCAGGGACACCAGTGATTCACAAAGTTAACACATTTTGTTGAAATATTTTTCTTCCTGTGATATTTTGTTATAACAGTTTTATAACAATGATGCCTGTTTCAAAATTGTGAATGCCATATCTCTCTGTAAAACGTTAACCAAAGTCAATCATTTGAAAGTTGTCACTGCTCATGTGACTGTGTGAATTTTATTAATTTCTTGGTTCATTTCTCATGTTTCTAGATGCCTTTAATCTTAGTAATTTGTATCCATTATTAAAGATGTTCAAATTTATCATTGATGAAATGCATAATTAATCAAGAATATTGATCAGTATTGCATTGTATGCTCTCTTTCGACACAAAGTGTATTACATTATTTGTTGTATATACATGTATTTATATATTTTACATTTGTGGGTTTCAGTTAATTGGAACAAAATACTTGAAGTTGTTTTACTTTAAATTTTGTATAAAAATATTTTAAATGAATTTCTATAAAACTTTGTTGTATTTTTCCTTCTGTAGTACTAATCCCACTGTGGGATGCGGGGACTGCTCCTTCAGATGAGTCCATATAAACTGAGGTCCCTTGTCGCAGTAGGTGTTGGCATGAAAAAGATCCCTCCCTGCTCAATGACCCAAGTATAGGTCAAAATTTGCAGCTCTCCACCGGCAAGTGGTGCCATCTCCATATGAGTGAAAATTTCTGAAGAGGGACGTTGAACAACATACAATCAATCTTTCTAGTACTCCATTTAGTACAGTCATGAAGTTCAATTTTAAACTTCTTTGCCTACATGTATGTCTCTTTAACCGGCTTGGTGAATTAGTCATAAAAATTTCATGCAATTACATGAGGTCACATTGTCAATCTATTTATTAATACATGCATATGAATCTGTATTATTGAATTTCTTTTATTTTTTTTTAACCAGACAAAATAGAAAAATTATTTTGGCTGCAAGTAAGACAGTTTGAGGCTTGAAATGTGCTGTAAATTAGCGTACAACATAAATATCTCATAAATCCACAGGTACTTGGGGGATGTCTTAGGTATTGCCCCCACTCTTTTCCAATTTCATACCCCCCCCCCCCCCTACTTGAAAAGTGGGAGGGTATAGTGATCGGGATGTCCGTCCGTTACACTTTGGGTATCCATCTCTTAGCGCAACTCTTCTCATACCAGTGAATAAAATTTAATGAGACTTTCACAGATTCTTTCATACATAATGCCAATAAGGCACCTTCTAGTTTACTTTTTGATCTAAGGCTCATATTTTGGGTTTATCATTTAGTGAGCAGATAAGAGATGGGTACCCCAAAGTGTAACAGACAGAAGTACATCCTGATCACTATATAGTATGTACCCTCCCACTTTTCAAGTGGGGGAGGGGAGGTTATAAAAATGTGAATGTAAAAATACTTTGCCTTGTTACCCATCAAATTGCTCATTTCTTTCCATAATCCTCTAACACTAGAACACCTTATCTTATCCTTCATCAATGAATAAAAAGTCTGTAAAGCAGTTGGTCATGTGTTTCCATCTTTGTGACATTTAATAATTTGTATCTCAGAAGTATTTTAGTAACAAAGGCAAATAATTTCCATCAGCTGACAGAAAATATAAAGATCAAAATAAACTAACTTTGTAATGGGAGAATCCAAATCTCCAGAAAAATAGCATGAAAACTTTCTCTGAATGTGCTGATATCCTCAATCAAAAATAATACCATTAGTTCAATTTAATTTCAATTGACAAAACCTGGGAGTGCTGCAAGCACCAGTAATCTCACCCTCTCCCAACAATATATAGTTTATATATAATAAATGTGTCTTATTGAAAAACTTTATTAGAAATTATGAAAGAAAAAAAATTAAATATTGCATGATGTTATCACTATAAATACATAATGTTTCAAGCATTAATATTTTTTTGGATTTGAGCTCTACAAAGAGTTACACGAGCAGTATATGTTTCTCAAACAGTGGCCTACTTAAGTAGTCTCCCTTTAATAAGATATTTGACATATTACTCACACACATTTTATAATTCTTAAAAGATTATTTTTTAATTGCATTAATTGGTCAATCAATGTTGATTAAATGTAGAACTTTTCCACTGTTTCTCACAAAAATGTTTGCTACTTTGTGTCCATCACATCAGTTTGCCAAGAATATCCATCATTATTAATCAATCCAAGTTTGTTCGCTATCAGTTTGAATCAATCAGTAATCAGCCAATCAGTCAATGAAGTAATCAATCATCACATCAGTTATCCAAGAATATATCCACCGTTATGAATCAATCCAAGATTGTTAGCTAGTGTGTCCATCACTGGAGTTATCAAAGAATATATCGGTATCCACTGTTATGAATCAATCCAAGTTTGTTAGCTAGTAGTTTGTGTCCATCACTAAAGTTATATCCATTAATCAATCCACAGTTATGAATATATAATCAATCCAAGTTTGTTAGCTAGTTTGTGTCCATCACTGAAGTTATCCAAGAATATATCCACTTTTATTAATTAATCCAAGTTTGTTCTAGTTTGTGTCCATCACTGGAGTTATGCAATAATCTTACATATATGCATACTGAAATCAAGCATGAAATACATGTATCATCATTAAAATATAATCCAAGTGTGAAAGTCATTACACATGGAAAAATGGCTCCTCTTCCCTCACAAAAGATTGGCATGTGAGTTAAGTTTTGGAACTCCTGAAGTTATTATAATGGATGAAAGCTAAAAGAAAACAAAATATTTAAATATACATTTGACAAAATACTTTTTTTTATCTTACATATATGCATACTGAAATCAAGCATGAAATATATATGTTCAAAATTAAATCTTTTGTCCACATTGGAGTAATTATTTTACTTGACTCACTTG